AAAAAAACTTGAGTCTGAACCTAAACTGCCAGTGAGGAGAGAGATAGAGATAGAGAGAGAGAGGGAGAATCAATATGTCAGGCAATTTTTGCATCTAACAATGAAGTATATAAAATTGCTATTTTGTTAAAAAATTTTCAGGGAAGACTGTGCTCTCTATCCAGTCTAGAAAGGAAACTAAATTCAAACTGGTTTGATATACAAGTGTCTTGAAGTGCAAGAAAAGTATTGGTTGCATTGAAGCTTGGCCAGGCAACCTACTCTTACAACAGATTCTTTACCAGCCATCCTGGGTTCGATGTCAAAAGGTTGGCTCTTACCTAAAAAATTTCCGTCTAAAATGCACTGTATCTTGAAAGGAACCAGTATCCTTTGGGATGAATAACAAATTATTTGAAACTTTTCACATATGAGTCTTTAAATATATTTTTTCTAATTATTGTTGCATTCTACTCTTTCATAGAGTCAATCTTTTCGCCTTTGTGAACATCTTTCAACAGTTTGTTTTTGTCATAACAAAGACCTTGCCATCTAACAGTGTCAATGAAAGGGAGATAAATAGCAAAGCAAGTTTCATTACAAACATATACAAATACACTCAGCAAATTATATAAGACAATCTGGGAAATTTATACTTAGACATGTTTTGACAGACCAGTGTAGACATGTTAAGATAGAATTTTTCAAAAGTATCTTATATAATTACAGTTCTATTGAATTCTCATCTAACTGGGTCATTCTGAGAATAGGACATTTTAAAATATTTTTTCAAAAGAAATCTTTATAAAATTACCAAGAAAGATTAAATTTGTAAAATTTCACTTTTTTCCCCAATTACATTAAATATTGGTTTAATCTATGTATAATTTTGTGTTGAAAAGTTTGATATTTATTGTTACAACAAATTCATTTTCATCATGTACGTCTACCCTATTATGTCCTGATGTAGTTTAGTTTGTCAAAAACCATTGTCATCACCAGACTATATATGTGTGTATATAGCTCAACAAAGAGAAGCTTTCCTTGTTTCCAGATGGTCATGAACAGGATTAAGAAATTAGCATACTGACAGAGAATTTTTATTTCTGAGGTGGTACCACTAAAATCACACATAATTTTCTAGTATTGCAAGTGTTCATAATTTTGGATGCTATTTCATAGACTAATAACTGTTTAACTAATTATGGAATTTTTGAGTCAGTATTTTCTAAAAAAGGCTTCTCAATGTTATATGAGAAATTCACTTATTCACTTTACTCCCCAAAAAACTGATACCCATTTTATCAACAGCTGATAATTCACCTAATTTTCATTTTTCTTTCTGGTCATCAATTTGAAATCAGGCATTGACAGAAAAAAAATAATTACATTTTGAAAATTAAATGTATTTTCATAAACACTGACTTTATAATTAAAGTATGTATACGTTTTGTGGGGAGGGGAACACATTCTGTAGAGAGATATATAAAATGAAGAAAATGCATTGTTTATATACCACCCATGTAGTCTTAGAGTCACATCACTGCATACTGGTACAAATCTACACAAGATGATTGGTTTTAATTCATGCTGTTTTCAAGAGACAGTTCAACAGACACAATCAGAAAGTTGACAGTCAAATTGATTTCATTCATAGTGAAGAGATAAATAGAATAATTACCTTATACATTGGATGTTGGCTTTTCACAATTTGTACTGGTAATTGATCAGCTTCAGACTTCACTGCATGCTCAGGCTAGAAATTACAAAAAAAAAAATTAAGAAAATTAAAATAGGTTTTATAATCTTTAAAGTTAACCTTTATTCATATATACATTGTTCTTGCATATAATAAAATTATGGCATACAGGGGAAATTGTATTAAAAGCAATTCTGTACTTTCAATCAAATAGAAAGTATATTTTTTTATAGATTCAGAGAATAAATATGATTACATCAATTTATTGCAGATGAAATTTCACTAAATTAACACACACAATATATATATATATATATATATATATATATACACACACACAAAATCCTAGCACTCATGCCATATCCGATAATGCATAGGGAAAAGGGAAGGTAGTCTAAAAGTAATTTTATTTTTAATAATAAATGATAAAATATGTTAGTTATTTGGCTTATCTTCATAAATCTATTTAAAATAAAATATTGTACAATCTGTTACAAGAAATTAAATACTACTCCTCACTTAACGACCGGACCCCGTTCCCACGACATGGTCGTTAAACGAGCTGGTCGCTAAGTGAGAAGTTGTACCTGACCATTTCATTCACAAATTTTTCGGCCGCTTCTACATCGGCACTTGCAGCCTCACCACTAGCACACCGATTATGCAGATTGAATCTTCGACGAAATCGTTGAAACCATCCATTGCTTGCAGTAAACATTTCCGTCGATCCTTCCCGCTCTTTTAGAATGTTGAAGATACTGCGTGCTTTTGTTTGAATTATTAAAATACTAAGCGGTATTTTCTTCTGCGTTTGGTCGTCAAACCAGACCGCCAGTAACTTTTCCATTTCATGAATTAGGCCTTTTCTTTGTCTTGTTATTATGGCCTTGAATCCAGTCGATGCTTTTACTAATGCTTTCACTTTTTCTTTATCTTTCAAGATCGTGGAAACAGTCGAATGCGACAGACCGAACTCATTCGATATAAATTTAACTTTTTTCCCAGCTTCATAATCTTTTATGATCTTCATTTTCATTTCAAAATCGATGACCTTCCTTTGCTTTTTCTCACTTCCTCCAGGGACAGTCTTGCTCTTTCTTTTTGTCGACATCTTGTACTTTAAAAGGGTACACGAGAAATAAACGAGTACAGAACAGAACGACCGATCAAAAATGCTGGGCTGTCAATGCTGATCGACAGTTTATGTGCGAATAAGACACGTAACTACGAACAGTGATATTTCCACGATCAAAGTTTTCGTACAACGTTGGATTTATTATTTTACGAGATTTTATAGTTGGTCGTAAGTGACGATGTCGTTATACAGGTAAGTCGTCAAGTGAGGAGTGGCTGTATCAAATTAGTAGCAAAAAGAACAAAAACAAACAACCCTGTTAGTTGCGTATCAGAAAAACTCTTCCTCGCCTTTTTGTTTGACACAAATTGCAGGCATTTATCTCCATTAAAAAAAACGAAGCTGTAATTAACAAAGTTTTATTTAAAAATAAAATACATTTTTAATCTATTTTCTGTCAATTATTTATTTTAACTTAATTAACTTTACACTACTTGTACACTGTAAGTGTAGTTTCCCCTAAACTTAGAAACTACAATAATCTTAGTGTACTGTAGTGTAGCATCTTTCTTTTTCACTTAATAAAAATGTGTGGTGAAATTCAAGGTGTATAATACACAATACTACTTTTAACTTTTCTCCTAAAATAATTTGCATAACCCAATGCTTATGTTTCGCCAAATTACCTTGCGGAAATTTGACACCAGAGTAACAAAGATGAAATTGAAATGTATATATAAAAAAAAAAAAAAAACTACAGAAACAAAACTTAAGTTTATGGTAATTTTCTTCTGCTATTCGAAAGCAGAAAAATCCGATATTTTATGCAAAATTTGCGTTTAAAAAATGTTTTTGCTTTTTTTGTAAACACTGTCGCCATCAAATATTACCTCTTGGAGGGAGGGTGCGTAAAAACACTTCGATTTTTAAAAATAGAAATCAACAAAAATGCATCTAATTATAAGTTTTAAAAAGAGAAAACCTTAAAACAGTCTCTTTAAAATTTTAAAGAAAAAATATTTTTCATGCGATTTCACCCCATAATTTGATGAGTTTATCGATGCGGATCACATTGAGGTTGACACATAAAAATCCTTGAAAAATAAATACTGAAGAAAAAAAAAAAAAAAAAAAAAAAAAAAAAAATTAAAGTAAAATTTGATGGTGTGGAATTAAATAATAAAATAGAATATGGCCCCCTTTTTGAAGAATTTTAAAATTTTATTTTTAATTTTTTCTTTTTTTTATTTATTGTGCTTTGATTTTTTTGTCATTTGCTACAATATCGTTTTAATTTGATATTTTAAGTTTTTATTTGTTCATTCTGGGAATCTTTTTCAAGTTTTATGTATGTCCTTTAATAAATAAATACACAAATTGGAAAAATATTTCATCCAACTATTTAAATTTAAATAACACAGCTGTTGATTGGATATTATTAACTACGGGTGAGCAGACTTGTAATCACTTTCACTTTTCAAAATTTATCATTCTTGCACTAACTAAAGAACAACTACATTAATTTCAACAGAATTTGTAGAAGAATTAACCAATATATTATAAGTTAAAAAGGTCATATTATATATAGAATTTATTTAGGTAATTGCAACGTGCAGTTTAAGTGAAAACAAAAATGTCTTACATTTTATACAAATTTTATAATGCTTTTAAGATGAAAATTATTACAGTTTCAAAATATAACTTCCTAGAAGTAATTTTAAATGAGGATTTTTTTGAGATTAAAATGAGCCATTGAAAGAACAATGGCTCATTTTATCTAAAAAAAAAAAAAAAAAAAAAAAATCCTTATTTAAAATTACTTCTAGGAAGTTATATTTTGAAACTGTAATTTTAATTTTAAATTTTAAAGTATTTTTGGCAAAAACGATTGATATTTAAAGAAAATAAAAATTTTCATTGAAAAAAATTAGGAAGCAAACATTTTTGCCAGAAATATTTTGTTATTTGAGATCAAAAGGAATATGTTCTTCTCGATAACTGATATTTCATGTGTGTGACAAAATGTGTTCCAGAATTACGTTTTTATTTAAAATTAAATTATGCTTCAACCAAAAAAAAGAGAAAAAAATCTTGAGAGAAAAAAAAAAAAAAAAAAAAAAAAAAAAAATGAAAAGACAAACAAAAAACTTCACAACTGATTGATTTGTCTGTTTTTTGTTTCTTTTTTACGGTTTATCGATCCTTTAAAGCCGGAACATTTCGGATTGTAGGAAGTCTCTTACAATAATACCAGGTGTTCCCAAGCTGTCCCTCACCTCAGTACTGATCGGGTTCAACAATGCTTAACTACAATGATCAAATGAGAACTAGTGTTTCAGCGTGATTTGACCGTAAGCAATGAGTACACAAAAGATACAATATTGATTTTTATTACGGGCCACCCTACTTAGAAACGGAAGCCAATTCTTTGACAGTTGTCAACACACGAACTTGTCAACACTGTCGGTATATCTACCTCACAAGCCCAACTTAACCTTTAACTCGTACTGACTGATGCGAACCACCGAAGTTATAAAAAATACGCTTTTTAATTTTTTTTTTTTTTTTAAATAAAATTCACATTTGTGTAATTTAAACTACTATGTAACTGTTTTTAATAAAATTGTCTGATAATTGGATTTTTTTTTTGAGTTTTCTCTGTCAAACGGTCATTGTTGATTTTTGCTTAAAGAGCATTTTTAACCTTGTTGCCGTTTACTTTATTCAACTATGTTGTTTTTTTATGCAAGAAACAAGCTTGGGCTCTCATGCTTGGCGTGAAAGTAAAAAAAAAAATTAAAAAAATAAAATCTCACTTTTAAAACTTTTGTTTGGTGACACCTAACTAAAACAATTTAATTTGAGTATGATGTATTCGCCAGAATTTTGGCACCTTAGGAGAGAATATGGTAAAAAAAGAAGATAATAATTTAATATGACCATTACAACTGATTAAGGAGTTCAGTCCTCAATGGATGTGCCATACTTGAGGCCTGTACCAACTAAGCTAAACTTAGGAAATAATTAACTAAGTTGCTCGTAGTTTCAGGAAGGTTGGGTCATAAGAAAGATCTACAGTTCAATTCAAAACAAATACTTTAGTTTCAAAACTTGAACTTCAGTGTCTTTCATAAAGTTCTTTTATTTTGGTATTTTTTTTTCTTATAACTAAAAAGATTTTGGAAGCTTGGATTTTTACAGTTTTACACTTTCTGTTCATTTTTAGCTTGAGCAAGTTTTACTCAAGGCTAGCTAGAGATTTTATTTTTTATATTAGATTTCGCAGCACGAGGAGATGCATGCTACATTGAAAAATCATATACATAAAAAATCTTGGAACTTTGATAAAATAACTAATTATGGGCATCCTATGACACTTGTTTATATTGTACAAAAAATGATTTAAAAAACCTCATGCAGGCCATAAATATTGAACAAGAAGTTCGATCCTTGTTGAATGCCATGGAAGTGTTTTGTTGTGCAGAAGACACTGACTAAAGAAAGGTTTACTGATGGCAATTTTGATTGAATCAATGAATAGTATACAAACACTCATTTTTAAACGTTTTTGCACAATAAAAGCAAAATTTACAAAACTGGTGGCATCTTGTAAAAAGACTTTTTTACCTTCTCGGGTGGGTAGTGAATGAAAAAGCATGCCCGGTTGAGAAGCTTTGATTTTTCGAGAAAAAAAACATTTATGACAGACAAATGGGGGTGGTAAGAGATCCATGGAGTAAGAAGATAGATAAAAATAAAATACTGTACTCACTGCTTTAAGTACTGAAGCCGTATTAAAAGCAGTTACTTCGTGTTCAGTCTGAAGAAATCCTGTTTCAGTGGTTATATCATCAACGTCGTCATCATTATTATTATTGCTGTTGTTGTTATTATTATTATTGCTGTTGTTGTTATTGGCACTATTACTACCAACAGTAGAAGCAGAAGTATTAGCATATCCAGTCACATTCAATATCAATTTATTGGTCCTATTCAGGGCATCTTTATAGTTTCCATGTCTTCTGCTTCCACAGCGAGGACATAGCGAGATATAAATTTTGATAGCCTCAGCAGTAACGTTTGCATAGAGCTGACGAGTGATGCTTTGAATTTTGTTGATACCTGCATGACCATGGCTCAAATGAACAGCCTTAATAGCATTAAAAAGATCTTCGTCGGCAATGTAAGGCCGGACAACCTCAGAATCTTGCAACCTCCATTTTTTGACGAGCTTCTCTTCATGCCCGTCGGTGAACAAGTCGAACCGACGAGTTACATTGTACTCTTGACTAGTCCATACAGTTTTCTTGTCCCAGGCTCCCTTGAGAATCAGCAAATATTTATTATATTGTTTCCTGGTGATGCTCATCAAGTTCTTTCCTATTTTCTCTTTCTTTCTGTTTCGCCAGCGGCGGAGAAACTTAATTTCGGCCGACATTTTTTCCCTTTTTGATTATTAAAATTAAGAACTCTTAAAATTTTTTAAGAAAAAAAAAAAAAATTAAGCTATTTGTAAAAACTTTGATAAAAAAAAAAAAAAAGTGCACACTGTGTAAAATTTAGAAAAAAAAATTAGATAAATAAAATTAAAAAATATATAGATTTTATCACGACCACGTGAATCACAAATAACGAGGATTTGAAAACCACTTAGAGAGAGAGAGAGAGACACTGACTGCAATAGGGGAGAAGTCCTTTACCCACAAAAAAAAGGGGGGGGGGAGAATGAATGGTGCAGATATAACAATGCTACAAACAAATTCTGTAGTAACTATGAACAGAATTACATATTATTTAACACACCTATTACTTAGTACTAGTAGTTTTTTGTTAAATATAGCAAAAGTAAGTTTTCAATGAATTTAGAGTGTTTTTTTTTAAATTTTTCTATTTTTTTTTCCACTCCGGGGTTTGATAGTTCACATTTATTTTTTAAATTATCTCTTCTCTTTTTTCAGATATTTTCAGTTTTTACGAATAATGGTAGTACTTTTAAAATATCTAGTTCAGTTGTCTGAACCTACCTTTTCACTGGGCATAAATAACACAACCAAATTTTTTTTTTTTTTTTTTTTTCTAGAAAGTTTTGACCTGATTGATAACGCTAAAAAGTAAAAATAAAACAATTATTTTTACTTTTAGAATAAAGAATTATTTAAAAACAAAAACATCCCTATTTATTAAATTCAAAATGTAAGCAATACTTGTTTGTCTAACACATGAATAACAAAAAAAGTAACAAAACTATGTAATGTAGCAAAAAGACTAAATCTAAAAAGAGTGTGATTTTTGTTTCACGTGTTGCTAAACAACAATTACTAGTATTTTTTTTAAGATTACAAACATTTTTCAAATTATTATTTAGTTTCGGAATTGAATCTACTAAAATAAAATTAAAAAGAAAAGAAATAATTAGTCAAGTAGTAAAACAAATATAAAAATGAAATCTGCATTAAAATTCATGAAATTCTAAGCTTAAAGTTTAAAACATTTTTTTTTTGTTAGGAAAAATACAATACTTATCCATTAAAAGTAAAATGCCTTTTTCTTTCAATGAAATAGGAATTTATGAATGATTCCAAGTCAGTGGGACAGTTTGAGTTTTTGTCTCTGAGCTTCTGCTTATTGTAACGATTCTCACCTAGCTGTTATGAAACTAGACTAAAAAGATCGTTATGTTACTAAATTAAACAGAATTTAAGAAAGAGCCTGGCCTAAGAAAAAAAAAGTACATTCATTGAAAATTTATTACTATAATTTTCTAAAATAAATGTAAAATGTAAATGAAATATTTTGCCTTTGTGTGTATATTGAATAACTTATTTCTTCTGATATGCGTAGGTGAAGAACATAAGAAATTTCAGATATACCTACATTTTTAAAAAAAATTAAACAATCGAACCAGAGATAAATAACAATAACTTAAGGAAGTAGAAAGACCTGTCTATTTTAAAATACCTCGCAGTTCCACCATTTGTAAACCTTGGACTAGGAAAAGTTATGCCATTTTTAAGCGATGACGACCTCTTGTCCGATTCCCACACTTCAGGGGTGTTAAATATCTATACAGCAATTCTCTCTTTTAGAAAATATTTTTGTAAATCAAGAATATAAAGAAGATACTCCTCGTGGGGAAATTACAAGAGTCCTTGCCTATAAGTGAGTAGTAGTAAAAAAGAGTAAAAGTGATGTACGCTCGCAAAGTTCACGAACTAGAAAGTCGTGAAATCTGAGCTGTGTAATAAACAAAAAAGAGACAGTAGAAGTAGCAGCATCAACTGCGCATAAATCATGCCCATTGCCGGGCCGGTTGCTTAGCAACAATTAGGTGGTCGGACAACCAATTTATCCTCTCAGCGAAATGTGTACATTACACAACCTGCATCACATTCCACAAACTTTACAATGGCTGCTACTACTGAAAATAGCCGACATTGGTACACGTAGCTAAGCTAAGTTCAGCGTTTCAAACAAATTTTGCATTCTAAACAACAAACATTGAACATTGATTTCTTACATTCTATGCACTTTATACTCATATTCTGAGCTGTCCTTTTTTAGATTTGAAAAATCATTCATTTAAGTAAGATAAAACAAAAAATAACGTCCGAAGTGCAGTTTATTTCAAGTATTTTTTCGTATGTAACAAAAAACTGAAAAATAGTTCAGTAGTTATGAGTAATAATAAAAAACAAAAATAAATTATTACTTTGTGGAAAACAAAAAAAAATAGAGGATCTATCTCAGAACTTTGGATATGAAAAATCATGAACCTGAAATAAAATGAAAAATAAATTACCACCCAAAATGAAATATATTTTAAAATTTTATTGTAACTATTTTTTCCATAAATGAAATAATTTATTAATCTCAGTGAAGAAAAATTCACATACATATTTTGATTTACATAGGAAGACACAAGGTAAGCTAAGTATGAAAAAAAAGGTGTCGTTTTGACTTTTAAAAATATTTTCCTCTTCATATACATTCTCTTTCATATAGGAAAAGAATAATTCTTGGTTAGAGCCACTTCGGTTTCATAGCTTCTTTCAGCATTTCCACAATTATTTTATACTTTGAGTATGCAATTTTGGGTGCCTGATTTTCAAATCCAAAAGAAAGCTCAGAATATGAGGCTAGTTAAAAAAAATATTTGGAAGGGGGGTATATAAGGGAGGTAAATCAATGTTTGGTATGCATACATCGTCTGAAGTTATAAATTGTGTTTTATATCCAATGTAAAATTATTAAAATGTCTCAACACTACTTATTCTTTCACATCCTATTTTTTTCTATGTTCAAGGCATAGGCGATCATGGCTCTCCACAATTTCCTGTCCTTTTTTGGTACACCGC